GGAGTTGGGGCTGGGACTGGAGTTGAGGCTGGAGTTGGGGCTGGGGCTGGGGCTAGGGGTATGGTTGGGGCTGAGGTTGGAGGTGGGTTTGAAGCTGGGGCTGGGGCTGGAGTTAGGGCTGGGGCTGGAGTTGGGGCTGGGGCTGCTCTGAAACGTTCATCCTCAAAAGGACCCTGAGTAACTTCCCCGGGAGCCATGCCTGAAGGAGAGAAGATTGGAAAAGTGGAGGCTATACGGGGGCGACCCCCACAGGGATGAGCTGTGGGCAAGGAGGCAGAGGGCTGTTGCTCAGAAGGAGCACCTGTGGGTGGGGTGGCCAAGCGACTTGGGGAGGGGGTACAGCTCAGTCCATCTCTTGAGAGGTCTGGGGTTGGCTTCTCTCTGTTCAGGTGCTGCCCAGGCTCCAGATCAGCAGCCTGGCCGCCAGCCGACTGCTCACAGCTCTGCTCCCTCTGGACCTGCTGGGACCTTCTCTCTTCTCCAAGGCTGTGGCCCCCTTGCTTTTCTGTCTTGTCCAGCCCTGGGCTCAGGAAGCAGTGGGCATCTCTGGAACCACCCGCCTCAGCCTTGGCCATGTGGCAGGCCCCTGGGGTCTCCTGCCCCTGGGATGAGTGTGGGCATCCCTCACGTGGCCCATCTGGCAATGATGGGTCCATGGAGCCTGGACCCCGGCTGAAGCTTCTGGTGATCAGGACCTCCCTCCTTGCCCAAGGCCAGCCTTCCTCAGGGGCACTGCCTGGGCCCCCTGGAGTATCCCCACTCCCACCTGTCATGGCCCCTGAGCCCAGAGCCAGGACTGGGACTGGTCGAAGGCTGCTCTTCCCATGATGCTTCTCTGAGACATTGGCCAGGGGCCCAGCCTGCATGACATGTGACTCGGGCTGCTCCCAGGGGGCAGATCCCTGAGGGGGAAGGGGTGGGTGGGAGCCTGCCAGGAGCCTGCAGGCGGTGGTGTCCACAGCATCCCACACACTCACCACAGCACCCAGCCGCAGCGGGTCCAGCTTGGGCCGGTGGCAAGGTCTGTCTCCTGAGCAGCTGTCCACCTGATGCCGCCGGCTGTCCAAGCTTCTGCCCTGTGGAAGAGGCTGCCACATCCCTGGCTGCCAGGGGCTGGTGTCCTGTTCAGCTGAATGGCCAGGGGCCTGGTGTGCTGGCTCCTTGGGGCAGACTGCCCCTGCCCTCCTTTTTGTTTCTCCACCAGGATCCCGAGGTGTGAAGTGGATCAGGATGGGGCTGGACGTCCCCCCTGCTTTGCTCCTTCCCAGGGGGGCAGTGCCTAGCCCGGGAGGCTGCCTTTCTGTGCCTCGAGGGGCTTCTGAGGCGCCTTTGCCACGCTGCTGTCCGCGAGCTGCACTGCTGACCGCCTCTCCAGGCTTCTGGGATGCAGGCCCCGCTGTAGTGGCCAGGCCTTCCTTGCCAGGGGACTCCCGGCCCTGGGCCCCTGTGGCAACAGGACCCCCCTGGTTGCATCCTGGAGGATCTGATTTCCCCTGCCCTGGTCCCTCAGCACCACCACTGACCTTGATCTTTGGGTGTGGGGCTGACCTGGATTCTCCTGCCTGAGGCAGCTGGGCGTTGGGGGCTGCGGACCCTGGTTCTTTCGCCTCCTGGTCCTGCTCGGAGTTGAACCAGTGTAAGGCCAGCGCTGTGGCGGCCACTACAGCCAGTGCCAGCAGGGTCAGCACGGCATTGTCCCAGTCCTCGTCCCCATCCATGTCCCAGCCCCAGTGAGGGTCGTCTGGCTCGAAGGCACCCTGGGCCATGGTGCTGAGCCCAGATCCCAAGGGAGGGCCTGAGTGGGCTGGGCAGTCGCCTGAGCTGCCCTCTCGCAGATGGTCCCGCGGTGCCCCGCTGTGGGCTGTGGACGGTGGCACTCCGGCCGTGGCTCTGCCTGGCCTCGGAGGGATGGCTCTTGTGCCTGCGTGGGTGGGGGTTCGTCAGCAGGACCAGTTGATGGTGTCGGGAGGCCAGTCAACACAGGCAGCAGAGGCTAGGGGCCTCTGCTGCTTCCTCACCCAGTTCCCACTCCTTCTCCTTTTCTGTCAGTCGTTGGTGGCAGGTGGCTTGTTCTCGATCCCTGTGCCAGCATCCCAGCAAGCGGCGCTGCCCCCCGGACCCTCACACCCCAAGCTCACCCCTCCCCAGCGTCCCTCCTCTGAGCTGGGCCAGCCACGGGGGGCTCTGCAGGGAAGGGTTACCAGGGGGAGATGTTATCTCAGCTCCAGCAACGTGATGCAGCCCCGATGAAATTACCAGAAACCGGAGCGGCTGATTCCACTTGTCAGCGGGGGAGGGGGTGGCACCGGGCGGGGTGAGAGGGACCCTGCAGGGTGTGGTGTCCTGACTAGGAGAATGCATCGGGGGTGAGGAGAGGTGGCGACAGCCTTGTCTCCCAAGATCAAGTGTGGGCAGGAGGCCAGTGGCCCTGAACCACCCATCCTTGGCAGCCTAGGACTCCCTACCCTAAGCTCAGCAGAGATGGGAGGGGGTTTTCAAAAGACCTTTCTAAGCTTCCGGGAGAAAGAAAAACAAAATGATGAACACCCAAAAGTTTTCTTTTTAGGGGGCCAGTCTTATTACCACCCACTGGCCCCCCAGAGCCTCCTGGACCCTCTCCTTCACACCCTCCAGGACCATCTTGACCTCCCGGGTGTTGCTTCACTGACAGCCCAAGCCCAGCCTGCTTCTGCTCCCCCACAGTGCCAGCACGCCCGGAGCACCCGTGGTACCCGCACCCCGACCTTGCCAGGCTGGCTCCTGGGCCACATCTCCAGCCCACTTTCCCTGGGACAGCCTGGTTTCACCTGGGGACCACACTCCACCCCCACCTCTCGCCTGGGCTCAGGCCCTCACAGGTGCCTCCCTGGGTGTGGCCCTGCTTCCCCTCAGGGTTTGGTTTCTTGGGGGACTAGAGGAGGGAGGCACCCATGTCTCTGCCGTCTGCTCACTGGAGCCAGCCTCAGGAGTAGGTCTTGGGAAAGGTGCCAGGTGGGCCGAGATAAAAAAAGAGTCTGGGGTCCCTGGGACAGAGGCAGGGCCCCCACAGCGTGTGAGTGTGTTTTCCTCCCTCTGGGACACAGGGCCCATGGCTTCTTCCTGAGTCGGGTACAAGAAGATGGCCAGGAGTGTCCCTGGCACCCAGCCTGGGCTCTGGTGAGCCTCAGGTATCTCACCCCATCTGGTCCCTTCCCAGCTCCCTCCCTGGGGCCTATTAGATGACAGTAAGAAGGTAGGAGGCTGGGCCCCCCAGACCTTAAGGTGGACCTTGAGTTGGGGGAGGGATTTCTAGACACATCCCTTATTCTGTGTCCAGTCCCAGGCTCCGTCTCTGTTGGTTAAGTTTGGGGCCCAGCGGCCTTGGGAGGAAGGAGATGACTTTCCCCAACCCACTCGGCCTTTTATGCTGTGCAATGCCACATCCACCATCTCTGCCGCAGCTACTGAAGACCCCCGTCTGTCCGAGCCCCCAGCCTATGAGGGAAAACAGGAGGAGTGCCCACCCAGTGAGTGATGCCTTTAGGACACAGTGATAGGAGGACTGAGCACAGCAAATCCGTCCACACCTACGTCAGCAGGCGCCAAGGACCGTGACAGGTACTGGAGACACACCGGTGAGCAGGAAAGTGTCCAGTCCATCCTCTGTGAAAAGAACCACCTCCGTCTGTTAAAATCCAGACCCAAGGGTGAAGCTTTGCTCTGCAGGGAGAGGCTCCCTGCCCGGAAGGGCTGGCACGTGCGCCTCCCAAGGTGTGGGCATTTTGCACCTCCTGAGGCTCCCAGAGATTAAAAAAGGGTACAGACCTCCAAAAACATGCAGTCACCTACACGCGTTGTGACACACAAACAGTTGTTCTGAGTGCTCTATGATGGTCTGAATATCTCAAATTACCATCAAGGAAAAAATAAAAATCAAGAAAATGAGTCCTGGGAAGAAATCACTTTAGCGTTCTCCTTTGAAGCCACTGGAGAAAGGAAATCCTGTCTCAATCCACAAAGGAAAAGAGGGAGAGATCTGCCTAGCTACCTGGACCTTCTACTTCCTTAGAAACAACACAAGCCAAACTGGAACAGGGCAGCCTCCCTGGCCTGCCAGCGACCGTCACCACCCACATATGGGGAGAGTCACCTGCCAGCTGCTCCACTGTGGGACCAACTTGCAAGAGGAGAACCTACCCCTCCTGGTAACTGAGCCGGACAAAGCTGGACAGCACCCAGCCACCAGAGTGCCTCTCTGAAACACTTAGTGGGGGACAAGCATAGTAAAATGAAGACATTATTCCAGCAGAGCTAAAGAAAGGGGACCAGCTAATATACATGAAATGATGGAAAACAGCAGACCCAGCCAAATGTTAGATTTCTCCACTACTGGAATTTTTTTGAAGCAAGAAATATAATAAAGATATGAAAGCAAGAATGTAATATTATTATGGTATAATCCTATTTATGTTCAAAAGTATTTATGTATATGTGCCTAAATAAATCTAGAATAATTTTAAAATCTAGAAAATATTAGTAATCCCATACTTAACAATTATACCTCAGAGAATAACTTTTAAGGAATTTGTGTGATGCAGGAACAGCTTTATGCAAAAACAAAAATTATAAGAGAAACAACACAATATGATTTATAAAAGAAAAAATTAAAACGTGACTATATGAGAAAGATGAAGAAAACTCGCACATGACTTTAATTTTTTTTATTGTTGTAGTTTAAATGAAGTTTACATTTCAAGTTAGTCTCCAATACAAAAATTTATACATACATTGTTATGTGACCCTAATTGCTCTCCCCATACTGTGACAGTACACTCCTCTTTTCCACCCCTGATTCTCCATGTCCATCCACCCAGCTCCTAATCCTCTCTGCCTTCCCATCTCACCTCCGGACTTGAGCTAAGAAGCACACTCCTCACGAGTATCACTTTATGTCCCACAGTCCAGTCTAATCCTTGTCTAAAGAGTGGGCCTCAGAAATTGTTTTAGTTCTAGGCTGGTAGAGAGTCCGGGGCCATGCTTTCCAGGGTTCCTCCAGTCTCAATCAGACCATTAAGTCTGGTCTTCTTACTAGAATTTGAGTTCTGCACCCCACTTTCCTCTTGCTCCATCAGGGACTCTCTGTTGTGTTCCCTGTCAGGGCGGTCATTGGTGGTAGCCAGGCACTATCTAGTTCTTGTCTCAGGCTGATGCAGTCTCTGGTTTATGTGGCCCTTTCTGTCTCTTGGGCTAATACTTTCCTTGTGTCTTTGGTGTTCTTCATTCTCCTTTACTCCAGGTGGTTGGGAGCAATTGATGCATCTTAGATGGCTGCTTGAACCACACATGACTAAAGTGTGGTCTTGAAAAAACTTATTTAAATAATTATTGATAACATGGCTATAAAGTTTAATACAAGTGTAATTAATAAAGAGTCTTAGAGTCATAAAATTAAAATTTTAAATAAAAACAAACTATGGGAAGGTAGAGGGAAGTGAAGAGAGAAAGCATAATGAAAGTCTCCTCTTATTCCAAGAGGGCGAATATATTTGTTTAATTCTTGAAATCAATTGCTAAATTTGGTTCAAATGTAAGTTTAAAATTTGAAAATAAGTCTAAGTTGATGTAGACATTTATCACATTCATGGACTGGAAAACTTAATGTCATAAAGGTATCAGTTGTCCCTAAGTTGTTCTAAATTGAGTCAATTGTATTTTCAATCAAAATCCCTGCAGGAGGGGTGTGTGTGTGTGTGTGTCTGTGTGTGTGTCTGTGTGTGTGTGTGTCTGTGTGTGTGTAAAAGAGAGAGAGACTTAACATGATTCTACAACGTATATGGCTTCCAACAGTGGTATTAGCACCAATCTTCCCACTGAAGTAAACTAAAAAAGCTGAGCTAAAATATAAATTACAAAATTTCGTAAAACAGTTTCAGAAAGTGAGAAATTTCTAAGCAAAAATCTAGGACAAGGTTTGAGAACTCAAAGAAGGCCCATCCCTCAGAGCTGCTTTTGTCCGGAGGCATTTGCAGAAGCAGAAAAACTAGTTTTGAAACTGTGCTGTAGTTTGGTGGCCTTTCAGGGCAAAGAGGACAAAGTTCAGGGCACACCTGGGGGGGTCTGACAAGCCACCCTGTTACAGATTGAATTGTGTTCCCCAAAAATACGTGTTGGAATTCTGTTTGGAAATAGGGTTTTCTTTGTTACGTTAATGAGGCCAAATCCGTGTAGGGTGTGTCCTAAACCTAATCACTTCTGCATTATAAAGAGAGCATAGACACAGAGAGGAGAACACAAATGGGGGAAGATAGATGCCAAATGAAAGTCACCAAGAAACCAAAGAATGCGGGGGCTACAGAAGCTGAAAGAGACAAGGATCTTACCCCCACAGTTGATGGAGAGCCTTCCTTTATAGCCGGTGCTCTGAAATCAGACTTCTAGCCTCCCGAACTGTGAGAAAATAAATGCCTGTCCTTTAAAGCCACCCACCTGTGGTCCAGACTAGTTCTGATCCCAGGCTCCTGTAAGAAGCAAACTAAAATCCTCTCTTAAGGAATGTACCATTGTCTAAGTGGTAACTTTGGTGAAGGGTAAGAGTACACAATACTGGGGAAGTCACTTCAACATTGTGCTGGAGGCCCTAGCCAGAGAGCAATTAGGCTAGAAAAAAAAAGAAAGGGCATCCAAATTGGTAGGGAAGAAGTAAAAGTATCTCTATTTGCAGATACTGTGATCTTATACACAGAAAATCCCAAAGAATCCACAAGAAAACTACTGGAACTAAAACAAG